CACCTTTTTAACTTTGTGATTCTCTCTCCTGGCTGTCAGCATCTCAGTTCCCCTTCATATCTGCCCAGTCTATGTTTTAATACCCTGCTATTTCTTTTAAGGAAATATCTTTTCCATTACTACTCAGTTTGACGTCTTCTATTTTATTTTCTTTTTTCTGCTATCTTTGTTCTGATGGTAAAAAATCAGGCTCCTTTTCAAACTGCTCCAGGTCCTTCCTGATTCCTGGGGTAAATCAGAATCTTGGAGCCAGAGGCTGACAGGCACAGACCTTTAAATTGCTTTCTCAAGTTTGCAGGCATTTAATAATCTTGGTCAGTTGTTTTTTGACCTAATCCTAGGAACCGGGCATATTCTTTTTATAGTCTTCATTACTTTTAACTTAAATATTAATAAAATCCATCTACCGTGTATGATCGCAGCCATGGTTTGAATCTCTGAACTCTAATAATAAGAGTTACTTTAATTACTAAATTCAGGGCTTGAGACTGTTGTTAAGGTGACTGAAGTCCATGGACAGGCCACATGAATTCACGTTTGCTCGTCTCCTCCACTGCTCTGTTAACCTTAAGACACTTCAAAATAGCACACACACACACAAACACAATTTGGGGAAGTTGATATAATAGCAAGCATATCTGTGTCTAAAGCTAAGAATTCTAAGCCAGAACTTCACTAGAGCTTGTAGCACATTATGAATTCAGCCACTGTAGAAGTTTCTGGCCTAATAGTTTGAAATCTGGCTGAAAACCATTGAAGAGAGGAGCTAAAAAGAAGTAGGTGTCCTTTCATCACCCAGTGCTTAAAAAGCTTATTTAAGAAAAATCAAAGGAGAGTCGTCTTGTCATTATAGTCCATTTTGTTTCAAGGACTAAATCTTATGTGGCCTGTGCTCATTAATGCCTCAGTTTTAATGCTACATCTTTTTAATGATAAAAACCAGTCATTTGGTGCAATATTTGGTGCAATAACCATCGCTTACTATCACATTAGTAAATCCATATAGCCCTGCTTCCCAAAGCCTAAAACCTAAGCCATGTGTCTTGGCCATGGAAATGCCTGTGTTAATGTTATGCTGGCCCCAACATTCTTTCTGAAAAAAAGCTTTAGTTAGGTTAGATCAGTTTAATTAAAATGTATGGAGAGCATGCAAGATCCCATTCCAGGAACTAAAATAAAATAATTGTGACACTTTTGTTACAATATGAGGGTTAACTTTGCTGGGCACTTGCTTTAGTTATTAGCATTTCTCCCATGTGCTGTCAAGTCTTCACTTTTGGCCTGAATAATAGCTAAATAGTGGTACCTCCTCAATAATCCATTTCCTCTGGGAATCAAGTCTGACCTTGAACCATATTCAAGGAGTTGATCTTTGCTACCACAACCACCTTACCTGGTATTGGTAACCACATCGTATCTGTGATCCTCAGTTTCTTTAAGCCTGTGCTTTTTGAGATATCTTAGCTTTCTGTGGAAGTTTCTTAGGAATTTTGTAGATGAGAATGGCAAGTTGGGGGGTTGATGGGGTGGCCAATTGTCCAAAGCTTCAGGTTCCCCACTTCCACTTAGCTTATACATGCCTTTCAGTTCTCTCTCTCTCACACACATACATTCCATTTCAGATTTCATTTAATGGAAGGTTATGCTGCTAAGACATGTTCAATGTTACTACTTTCTAAAAGCATTAATAACCCCTCCCTTCCCCATCTTTTAAGACTTCTTATAGGAAGCAAATAAAATACAGATATAAAAAAGCTAAAGGAGCTTTAAAACAAATGACTGAGAGTTAAAATTAGGGACTTTGCTTTTCTTGTTCACTGGTGTGTCATTCAATCATTTTTTAGGCATTCATTCATAAATACTTACTAAGCATCAGCCACGTACCAGATATTTGTGGGCTGGAATGGGAAAACAAATGAAGACCCAGTATATTACTCAGCTGGGGCTGCCGTAACAAAGGACCACAAACCGAGTGCCTTGAACAACGGACTTTTTGCCTCACAATTCTGGAGACCGGAGGTTTGAAATTAAGGGGTCGGCAGAGTTGGTTCTTTCTGACGATCTGTTTCATGCCTGCTTCCCAGCTTTGGGTCATTGCTGGCAGTGTTTAGTGCCCCTTGGCTTGTAGATGCATCACCCCCATCTCCATCTTCACGGTCATACGGCATTCTCTCTGTGTGCAGGTCTGTGTTCATATTTTCCCCTTTAATAAGGGAACTGCTCATACTGGATAAGAGATGTACCTTACTCTCATGTGATCTGATCTTAAGTAATGATACCTGCAGTGACACTATTTCCAAATAAGGTCACATTCGTGTTACTGAGGGTTAGGACTTCAGGCATATGTATTTTAGGGTGGGCACAATTCAGTCCATAACACCTACATAATACCTGCCTAAATTTAAAGTTATAAATAAAGCTAAAAATTGTTAAATATAATATGCTTTGTTCTATCGTGAAAAATACAGCTTCATGAACACCTGCAAGGACAGGTTTTAATTTAGGAAAGTTCTTGGACTTTCCTGTTGGCTTATGGTGGTCTGAAAAGGGCTGGCTCCTCTCCCGGTCCCCTTCTATGCCCTGCTTTTCCTTCCTGCCCCTGGCTTCCTCCCGCACTGCAGGTAGGCTCATGCACATCTGTGGACACTCCAGGTGCCACATTCAAGCTGCATCATGTATCCCACAAGCAGTCTCCTCTTGGTCATCCCTGCAGTCCAGGCCTTGCTCACAACAGTGGTTCAGTCTGGCTTCAGCTGAATGGGCCTTTAGGCCTGCAAGCACTGTTCTGGAATTCTGGAATCCCAGGTACTTCGACGTGTTCTAGAATGAGGATTTCGGGTGTGGCTAAGAGTCACAGCTGGAGGAGGCAGGATTCTCTATGGTCAGGGTACCAGGACAAGGACAATTTTTGCCTGGATCTAAAGCTGTGAACACAGCTTCTTGGTAGTCTTGGGGTTTGTTTTCCAGTGAAATGAGACAAAACATATATAGTAAGCAAAATAAATAAATTGTATAAAATGTTCAAAGGTGATAAGTACATAAGAAAAAAAGTAGAGCATTGTTGGGAGGATCTGATGGGTATCTGGAGATAGGGCAGGTCACACAGCATCACAGGGTGGTGAGGATAGAGATGAAAACATTTGATCAAGATTTGAAAGAGGTGAGAGAGTCAGGTAAGTGGAATATAGCACAAAAGCACCTTTTGGCAAGAAGGAGCTGTGTGATAAATATTCCAGGGAGGAAGCATGCCTGGGGTGCTCAGGGGGCAGAAAGGAGGCCAGTGTTGTTTAGTGTTATGAGCATAGGGTGATGTAATGAGAGTTAAAATGCATAATAGACATAGCTGATGGGAGGCCATATCACACAGGGCCTTTTAGGTTATTTTAAAGGTTTGGGCTCTTACTTTGAGATTAGAAGTCCCTGAAGTATATTGATCTGAATGATACGCTCACTGCAGTTGCTGTATTGAGAATAGATGATAAGGGGGGCGGGCAGGGTAAGCATAGAACATGGAGACTGTTTAGAACAAGGAGATTACAGTAATTGGTGACAAAGATGACAGTAGTACCTTGAACCAGAGAGGCAGCAGATGGAGAGAGGTAAATGACTGGATTTGGGGTTTGTTTTGAAGGTAGAGCCAACTGGAGTTTCTCATGGACTGAATCACATTCAGAGAAAGAGAGAGGGGACTTGTATCAAGGATAACTTCAAATATGTTGCCCTTTAAAACAGGTTTTGGGAGAAAGATCAGAATCTAGTTTTGGAAATCCTGAGTATGAGATATTCAAGGGGGATACTGAATAAGCAATTGGACGCAGAACTCCAGAATTTGGGAGCATTCTGGTCTAGAGTTATAATACTAGGAATCACCAGCATACAGATGATACTTAAAGCCATGAGATGGACGAGATCATTAGGGGGTAAGGCTGACAGAGCAGAGGGCCCAGGAGTGAGGCCCAGGACACTACAGCGCTGGAGGATGCAGAGAAGAGGGTGCTCCTGCATGGAAGACTGAGAAGGAGGGACCATGGCCACACGAGGGAAGCACAAGAGGGGCTGGGTGCCCTGGAAACCGAGTGAAGAATGAGTGTTGAAGAAGATAGAGTGTCAAACACTGCTGGTAGGCAAGGTTGGATTAGGACTGAAAATTGGCCTTTGGATTTAGCTAAGTGGAGGTCCCTCAGGACCTTGACAAAAGCAGTCTTGTTGAAGTGTTGGGGGTAAATATGTCCTTGGAATGGGCCTGAGAGAAGATGTGAGAAAAGAAACTGGAGACGTAGTAAAGACAACAATTTTGAAGCCTTTTGCTGCCAAGAGGAGTAGGGAAGTGGGTCAGTATTCAGAAGGGGAAGTGGGGTGCTGAGGAGAATTTTATAGTGGTTATAACATCATGTAACCATGTAGCATCATGGCTGTATGCTGAAGAGAATTATCCAATAGAATATCAAGAAATGATACTTTTGAATAGAAGAGAATTCCAGTAATGTCTGTAAATAGGTAAGAAGGCCTGGGATCAAATGTGCATTGAAAGATTGGTTTTCAGTGGGAGAAGGGATAGTTCTTCTGTGGAAATAAGTAGGAACGTGGAATATGGAATTTGCTAGGTGGGTAGATTGATAGCAGGATCTGTGCAGGTCTTTTGATTCCAATTTCTAGATGAAATAGGAAACAAAGTCATCAGCTGGGGGGGAGAATTAGGGTAGGAAGAGCTGGGGTTTTGACAGAGCCAAGGGTGTGTAATCATTGTGTAGCAGAAAAACAGGCTTGGAACTTACAGAACAATAATAGCCCAGCAGCATTACTGGCCCACTTGATTTGTGTGATCATGTATTTTAAGTGAGATCACATTAGCCCATACCAGGCACTCAAATGCTTTCAATGAATAAATCTACAGCCTTTTATATGTTTCCATGGTTAAGTAGATGGCCGTATAAAAAAACTTAAGTTATGTTTTTTATTCATATACAGCAAAACATTGAATAAAGCAAGGTTACAAATTTTTTTAAAGTAGTTTAAATGGCATGGATTTTAAAAAATATCCTGTTTGATTCTCTTAAGGATTGTACAGTGCTGGAACTTGTAGTTACTTTGCAGGTGAAATTCTGTGGGACTGTTTATTCAGGTCATGGTGAATGTGAAAGTACATTCAGAAGTAAGGAACATTCTTCATGTACAGAGAGAAGAGGTTTGGCTCAGAGGGGAGAATTCCAGAGTTTGAGATGTTAGAGTTAGGTGATAATGAAGTTTAAAATGTGATCATGTCTCTGGTTGGGTGAAATCCAGTGATAATAAATCGGTATTGAGAGTGTGAAAAACTACAAAGAAGTTTCTTCAGAAAACTGGATTTAAGGATTTCAGGCATTTATACTTTGTTTTTCTCATAGAGAATAAGATAGCAATGTGTTGGAGCTTACCAATACTCCCAATAAGTAGGATTATAAGTGAGCCTATAGGCATATATATGTAATTCAAATTTAAAAAATCTGTTACAGAGATACTTAGGTCTTGAATTAGATGATGAGATGGCTTTGCTTATTTTTCTTAGAATATGCATTAAAATAATGGTTTTTACTGTAGGTACAGAATTAAAACAAAATTTGAGCATGTTTGATTTAAAAGATGAATTCAAATTAAAAGCCCTTTTATTTTACATTCTAAATTTTACACAATCATTCAGTGCTCTATTTATGGAGAAGAGATTCTAAGAAAGTAAAATACAGATAGAAAATAAGTAGCTATAGAAGACTGATCCAGATTTCTTTTCCTTGTGTCCTTAGTACACTATGCTACCTTTGACAACAAAAATGTCCTGCTCTGGTGATAGAGAGCCCCAGAAGTGAAAAAAATATATAAGTAGTTAATGAATAATGCACATGTTCATTACAATGGTCAAATTATACTGTTTCCTAGTGGATACCATTTCTCTTCATTGAGTGGGACACTACAGAGTTGGATGTTAATTGCTCCCACAAAAGTGGTTTTGCTCTTCACAACAAGCATTAAAACACGTCCCTGAAGCTCTGTGACTTCATCATATACCACCTGAAAAGGGAGAAAATAACAAAAACATAAAATTGATATGCTTTCATGCATCTTTGAAAAAACATTGCTTTTAATAAAAAATATTTAGCTGCTAATATCTTGTTGCTTGTATTGGATAGGTTAATGTTAGAATCTTTTCTTTCTAATTCTAGTTCTGGAAAACTCAAGATTCTTCTAACATAATGGACTTTAATGACAGGATATCTCTCTTAGAAGTTTAGAATATACTCTGATTCCATTAATAATTGTCCATCCAAAATTTAATAAGACTGTAAATTATATTCTCTAGGAAGGAATTTAAATGCCCACCACCTTTTAACTCTCCTTGTATTTGTTTGGTGACATGGGAACTTAAACACTATCTTTCTTTGTTGAAGGCTAATGAGGAAAGTGGAACAATCCCCATGATTTCCTTATGTTAATTTAAGGCAGTACAACAAAATTTCCTTCTACATATGAAGAAATCACTCTATGGTTATTTTATTTAAAATTGCTTAATTCTTAATTATGAAAATACATGCTCATTAATTAAGATATGGATGAAACAAAAAAGAACAAGAAAGAAAGCAAAAATCTATATTTCTACCACTGGGAGATAATTATAGTTAACATTTTGATGTTCCTTTTGTTTTCTATATATAATCACTTTTTAAGAATCTGAGCTGTAATTATGCTGTATGTATAATTTTGTGTCTTGCTCTTTTTCACTTACTAGCCATGTTACTCTTTTTTAAAAAGGGATCTGTTCAGTTAAGTTTTATAGTATCCAGGAAGTAAGTCACAGGCATTACCACCAGATGCCTGCAGTGTTAAAGAAACTTTAGGTGTAGAACTATCAAGAAATTAGTTATCCATCATGAAAAGAGGGGAGAGCTGTGCATAAATGTAACATGGTTGCCAGGAAACTCCTTGGAACACATTTAGAAAAGGAGTTTTGTACGCTGCTACAAACTTGCTTGCTTTTTATAGCCAAGTGACAAGGTGGAAAGAAGCATTCTCTGTATGTGCAGAAAAGAAACAAACAACCTGAGAGGGAAACCATTTGAAGTGATTCTGTGTGTATGGATGTGCTTTCTGATCCCCTGCATTGCATTCACCTACCATTTATGAGCCTATTATCAATGAAATTCCTTTGAAGATCAATCTGTTGGCTGCGCTGAACAATGATTTACTTATCAAGTAAATTATAATTCTATCAAGAGATGCTAGATGCCATATGTTAAGCTAGCCTGCCCCAGTTCACCTGACAGCTCCTGGCTATCTGCTTTCCTAGAATCCCACTCCCATTCCAAGCAGGAGATTATCTTCTAAGTTTCTTAGTACTGCTTATTCCAATTATTCTATTTCACTTCTTGAGTTTTCCCGGGGTAGGAAAGGGTTTTAAGGGCTGCCTTAAAAATCTCAAAACCTTATCAAGATAATTCGTTTTCTTTAACACAGCAAGATGTCTGACTCTGTGGACTCTGAACCACTCACTCCTCCGGGATGTCTTTTCAGGACTGCAGAGAAAGCGCATTTTCCTTCCCTCTTCAGTGACTATTTTGAACTCTGAACTATCCCTCATTTTCTTCCCCCAACACTTTCAGCAGATGAATTCATCTATTTTAGAGAAAATAGATGAAGGGGCTCAAAGTTAATATACATGAAGTAGAAAAATGGAAAACGTCTTTGAAGAAGTCTATCTTAAGAACTCTGTGAATTATATAAATAAGCTCTAAAAATTTAAATTCCTAAGAAACATATCAATAATTTATATTTACATGAATCTGTTCTCAACTGTTTTCTCATTTGCATAATGGTGATAATAATATTTATCTTTTATCATTATGGGGAAGAACAAATGAGAAAATGAATATAAGCCTTACTACACAGCCTGGCACATATTAAATACTAATAAATTATAGCTGAAAAAGATTCACCAAAAACACACAAAAAAACAGCTATTTCTTGCATTAGCTGACTGGAGAAAACATTTCTAGACAGAATTGAATCTCTCAGGTATTTAGCAAGCTGAAATTCTCAAGAAATAACTTCAGGAATTAACTACCTTTCTGATTAAAACATTTGAACTCCAAAGTTTATAATACTTTAAAGAATTTTTTTTTCCTGTGCTTCATTATGTGAAAGTTATTTTCTTAGAGGCGATGGAAGTTTTATAAACATGTAATCATTGCACATCACAGATGATATATATATCTATTTTAATTGCTTTACTGCATCCATATCATTGTTAAAACAATAAGCACTCCTTTTTATTGTGCAATGAATAATCAGTGGGTTATGCTAGAGAACGCTATGTTCTCTGAGACTTTTTCACTAAATGATTTAATATGTGTTCTGCCTTCACAGAAAGACAGCCAAAAAGGCACAACTCTTTTAATTCCATTTAGTAATGCTTTTTACCCATAGACCTGAGCCAGGTCTTCATGGCCTTCTGACAAATACTGAATTTGTAGGCTTGAAATTATTACATCATTGCTCTGGGTAGTTGATACCTATTAACTTAGAATCAAGCACTCACTACATGTTATTTGAAACAGGTAAATAATTCTAAGGTGTATTTTAATGACCGCAGTGGGAGAACAATCGTACGGAAACAGAAATGTGTCCAGTGTTGGTGGGAAGTGGATGCAGGACAAGGAGAGAGAGAGTTTAAAGCAAGTGTGAACAGGAACCCTGTAAATGGAGAGGAGAGATAACTGTTGTTTAGGGGGTTAATACAGGCTTTGGAATCAAGCAGTTCTGGACTTGAAATTTAGTTCCATGACCCAGGTCAAAATGTTTGACCTCAGGGCCTCAATGTCTTCATTTACAAACAGAATTTACATCATCTCATGAGATCAAATGAGAGGATGATTCAGAACACAATAGCTATTGCCTACACAATAGCTATACCATGTACCTAGCTCTGTTCCAGATAATCACACACACTCTGCAGGATACATAAGACATATAGAATGTTCCTGTTCTGTCCTAATTTCCCCTCTACACATTATAATCGGATATATCTCAGAAAGGAATACAATGGACGAAATACATTGACTATAACAATATAATTTTGTTATAAGATAAAAATCAGTATTTCTACTGAATCTTTTAAAAAATGATGGCTTTTAACCAGATGACAAAGGTAGTGGAATGGAAGGAGCAACGGCACGGGAACCAGAATCCCAGCTGCTCTTCCTGAAGGCTGGGGGGCAGTTTGGGAGCCCTCTGGCTGCCAGCCAGCCGCACCTCGATCCCGTCATCTCTACTACAGGGGTGCGGACATGCCAGGGATGTTCAGGGACGCTGCTGGCCAAGCCTGCGGAGAACCTCTCTGGGAAGTGTCAAGCAGACAAGCTCGGCCCTGGATCAAAGCTTTGATATCTGAGGGCAGATACCAAAAGGGCACTTGGCGGTGTTCATGACCCAGCCTTTCTCAGGAGAGACAGGATTATGAATAAAAATGGAAGAACTAGTTTCATAAAAAGCTTTGGAAGACATTAGCGATGCAATGTAATATCTATCCCCTTTGTATTCCTCTAAAAGATTTATATATAAAGGGGAGCAAGGTCATTCTCTCCCACTTCTCAGAACATTGCACGGCTTTGTCAGTTTGAGGGATCCCAGCCGCGCTTACTGGCTGAGGTGGCGGTGCTCCCGAAGCAAAGCAGGAAAGAGCTTAGAAACAAGACAGATGCCATGTGACGCTTACTTACTGGGCTCCCTAGGAAGGAGCTTATAAGGTGTTGGTGAGGATGCACAGAAATAACTGAAGGCTTTGGCACAGAGATAGGGACCTACATCACAGCTGAGGGCAAGACAAAGTAAAACCAGAGTTAAAACTGGTGTATTTTTTTTTTGCATTTCTTATAAATGAAGATTCTTGTTAATGATACAGAGAGAGCATAATGGGAGAAAAAATAAAATATTGTATTTTTTCTCTCATGGTGTTTAAACAGACGCCGAAGGTAGTGGAATTTCTAAAATCAGTCAGTTTCCCTATCATGCTTACCTATATGATAGTTGTTATTATTAAAATAGCAGCTTATCCACATTACTAACTTGCATTTATGCTAACTTGAGTTATGTATAAATTGGAGTTTGCTATGGACAGACTATAAACTATTGTTTTTGAAACAGTTTTAAATGTATTTGAAGTGTGAACAACTGGTGCCCAATCTGATGGAGAAAATATTGGAATGATTTCTAAGCAAGGGGCCAAGAATGTGTGGGAGCCCAGAATTATTGAAAATCATCAGAAAATTGATGAATACAAGAATTATAGAATAGTTTCCATGCATGTTGTATGTACTCTAGTTTTAAATAATACCTAAGACATTTTCTTCATATTCAAGAAGTCTTTAATATACTAGAATTAAAAAACATGTAGGACTAAGTATAAGATGGTAAGTGGGGTACAAGGGTCCAGGAGGAGAGAATGGTTCAGAGTCTGCATGTGAGGCAAGCCTCAGAGTTGGCAGAGAAGGGCAGGAGGGGTGAGTGGCTGCATAAGCTCCATCACAGAGATCCCAGGGACTATTCAGGGAAGGACAAGCTGTCTGATGTGACTCGAGACTACGACCAGGTATGGGGAGCACGCAAATATTCCTGACTTATTTTTGACAAAGGTGCAAAAGATATTTGATGGAGGAAGAATTGCCTTCTTAACAAATGGTGCCCAAGTACTCGGCATTCATAGGCAAAAGAAAAAAAAAAGAACCCCACCCTAAACCTCATATTTTATTAAAAAAAAAATTAACTCAAAATGAATAATGGACTTAAATATAAAATGAAAAGTTGAAAATATTTAGAGAAAATATAGGAAAAAATCTTTAGGACTCAGTGCTAGGTGATGAGTTCTTAGATATGACACCAAATATGCATTCTATAAAAGGAAAAATTGATAAATTGGCCCGCATCAAAGTTAAAAACTTTTACTCTGAAAAACCCTGAGAAGAGGATGAAAAGACAAGCTAAAGACTAGGAGAAAAGTTTTTCAAATCACATATCTGACAACGGACTAGTATACTTATAAAGAATACTCAAAACTCAGCAGTAAAAATGCAAAGTATGCAGTTAGAAAGTAGAGCAAAGACATGAAGAGAGATTTCACCAGAGGGCAAACAGCAAATGTGGGCAAACATGCAGAGAAACTGGCTCACTTGTACACAGCTGGTGGGAGAATATGGTACAGAAAAAAAGAGTATGGCAGTTTCAGAAATAACCCAGCTATCCTCTAACGGGTTAATGGTTAAGGAAACTGCATTACCTCCACACCAATCTCAAAATGGTTACCAACTCTATGATCCTCTTTATGTAGCATTTGAAATGACAAAATTATAGAGATGGAGAACAGATGAGTGGTTACCACGGGTGGAGGGGTGTTGCAGGGAGGAAAGTGCTTGTGGCTCTGATAGGGTAGCAGCAGGAATCCTCGCAGTGCAACTGTTCTGTACCTTGGCTGTGGTGGTGGTGACACAAATCTATACATGTGATACGAATGCATAGAACTAAACACACACATGCATACAGTAACAAGAACCCATGTAAAACTGGTGAAATCTGAATAGGGTCAGTGGATTTTATTAATGTCAATTTCCTGATTGTGATATTATCCTACAGTCATGGAAAATATTACCATTATGAGAAAGTGGTTGAATGGTATTTAAATTCCCTACTATTTCTTCCAACTGACTGTGAATCTACAGTTATCTAAGAATGAATTTTTCTTTAAAAAGTATATGAGGATGATATTGTTCAAGAGATAACTCAGGAATATTACTGAGTCAAGTTTTGAGGGTTATGAATGCCATGTTTAGGATTTTGGACATTATCCAGTAGGCAGCAAGGAACCTTTGAAAAAAATTAAACAGGGACATAATAAATAATATGGCTAGTATTTGAAAGATGCCTTAGGTAGATGCTTTTGAAACACAAAAGCTAGGAGACAGATAGGAGGCTATCATAATAGTCAAAGTCACAAGGACCTCAAACAAAGATATCGTAATGGGATACAGGGGAGATGATGGATTTAAGAGGCAGGTGGCTGCACAACAACTGAGAAAACTTGGGGATTAGTTGGACATGTGAGAGAGATGGCAGTGTCATTAGAAGACATCTTTTGAGATGGCAAACAGATGAGGAGAGCCTGGCTTAAAACTGCCTAGGAGACATTCAAATATAGCTCTTCAGTAATCAGGCAGACATGCTGGTCAAAAGCTTAGGAGAGAAGCCAGGGCTTGAGTAATAAATTTGGGTGCAACCTACAGAGAGGTGATAATGAACATTTGTGGATATGTGAGACAATTTTGAGAGGCTGTATATATCAAGAGGATATGAGAGTAGATCATAGAATTCCAGAAAACAGTATTTTCAGAGGAAGAATGGCAATGAAGGAAAATGAGAAAGTGGATGGAGAAGATGGAAAGGAATTACATAAGGGTTGAACTCAAGAAGCAAAAGGGAGGTGTCAAAAATAAGGGTGCAGTCAGCAGGGCTGCTGTATGACTCTTCAGAACAGGAGAGTCTCAGGGCTCTTTGGATTGAGCAATTAGGACTTGAATAGAGCAGCGGTCAGTTAAGGTCAGCATCCATACAGCAAAGGCTAAAGGGTGAAAAGGAAGAGATGAAGTAACAGCAGGAAATGTGAGTTGATATTGCAGAAGTTTGGAGGCAACAGGGGAGAAAAAACATTGGCTGCCTAGGAAGCTGAGTTGAAGAGTTTGTTTTGTTTTGTTTTTTCAAGATTTCTGAGGATCCAGTGAATCAAACAGTTTTAAGAAAAAGGCAAGCTAGTAATATCTGGGCAAGGTACAGAGAATATGAGAAAGGATGGAATCAGGACAATAACCATAGGGTTTGCCTTAGAAATAATTAGGGGATTGGTTTGTCCAAAATATATAATACAAAGAAATTAGAGAGCTATGTATAACATAAATTAACTTTAATTTGCACTAGCTACTTGTTTATTTTTTTCAGTTTTGCAAAGGGGATTTCATGAAGCTTATTGTTATACACAGGTTAGACCTTAGGTAAGGAAAATAAGTAGGAGTAAGTCAAGGATAAAGGTAGTAGGTGAGACACATGCCAGATAGTCTTGCATTCTTGCTGGAGGTGAGCTGCAATTTGAAAATTGGTTCATAAGAGCTCTGAAAGCAGTATTTGTATTTTTCAGTCCCAAAGCATCTAGAACAGTGATCTGCACACAGTGGCTATTTTCAGAATTGTCTTCTCTTTATGGAATAATACTGCCAATTACTGCAAATTTTCTATGTTTGTTTGTTAAGTTGAAAAATGGTAAGAAAAACACAAAGCGACTGGACAAGGGATGAATCATACTTACAATTTCATTGTAAGTGGGGTCAGTACATTTTGGAACAGATTTTGTTTTCCTCCTACGAACTTCATTGGGATATGGTAAAAGATAAAATTCAACATGTGCAGTGGGCGCAGAGCCATCTGGGAGATGCTGCAAAGGAAAATGGTTATAAATATTAATGTGTGTTGCTCTCAAAGAAAACAAATACATAGCTACTAAATATCCATACCAAAGGCAGGATCAAAATTTATTACAGTCACTCTGTTGATCAGAAAATAAGAGATCAAAAGAAATACATCATTGCTCAAAAATAATCCCAAAGTACAATTTGAGCAAAATTGGCCATCTTAAATTAAGTGTTGTGTCAGAGAACTACATTTAAAAGCCCATTAAATATAATTTACTTTAGTTTTTTAAATATTAAAAACTAAATTTGCATTTTTGACAGAAATGGTCAAGAGATGAAAATAAGCCACAGGCAGAGACAGGAAATAAGTGCCTGGGGATACTGTACAGCACTTGGAAATAAAAAAAATTCAAGTTTAACACATAAAACAAGAGGTAGCATATTATTGGGTATGTATATGTAAATTATATAATATCACATTTTACAACAGAATTTAAAATATCAATTAGACATACAACTTTAATATACTTGCAAGATTTTTAAGATAATTAAAATAATTTATTATCTGAATTACCCTAAAATATATTGGATAGTGACTTTTAAATTGTGTTCTGTGGAGACCTCAAAGTTACCTACATCGCTGCTTGGTAGGTAGATCGATGGTACCAAACGGGTAGATCTCTGGTCCCTCTCTCCCCAGTTTGTCCTGACTACCCTCCTGCCTCCCCATTATGACTTCAGAACTTCCCTCCTTCTTTTTCACCTTTCCTTATAGTTTAATTTCATAATGCAACATTAAAAAAAATTGAAGTGTCATTGATATACAATCTTGTATTGGTTTCAAATGTACAGCACAGTTCAACAGTTGCCCGTATTTAATCCTCACCCCTCTAGTGCATGTACTATCTATCAACATAGAAAGATGTTACAGAATCATTGACTGTATTCTCCATACTGTACTACTGTCCCTGTGACCAGCTTATATCGTGACTGTGAATTATTGTGCCCATTTATCCCCTTCACCCTCCTTTCTCCACCCGCCCCAATCTCTCCCCCTTGGTAATCACTAGCCACTTCTTGGTGTCTGTGAGTCTACTGCTGTTTTGTTCCTTCTGTTTTGAGTTGTTTTTATATTCCACAAATAAATGAAATCATAGGGTTATTTGTCTTTCTCTGCCTGACTTATTTCACTGAGCATGATCTCCTCCAGATCCATCCCACAGTATAATATTTTAAGAATGAGTCCACTGTTTCACTGTTTCTACTGTTTTTGTGGAAAGCACCACACTTCAAAGAAATGGCTTCTGCCTCTGTGATCTTGACCAAATGGGCAGTAAATCATACTAAAACTCTGAATATCTAGTTTAATAAAGTGAGAAATGTTTGTATAATTTCCATTTAAAGAGGGTGATTTAAAAGTTAAAACTGAGGAAGTAAATACTCATTTCGTTGAATGCATTCTAACTATTAAAATGGCAATTTTCAACAAGTATATTCTAATGTTCTGAATCACTGTGACATTTACATGTGAATATTCAATGCCACCACCAATGTCATTTGATTTAATTTTGTATCTTTCTTTCATACTCCCAAAAAAGACATATTGGAAAGTAAAAAAAAATATATGTTATTATAGGACTAACTTTTATTCAGTTCTAATTTACATGGTAAAAATAATGTCATTAGGAAAATTTGGCTTTTTATTATTACTCACAAATTAGGTAAAATACATCTGGACACACACACCTCTATGACAAAATGCTAATGCTGTCAAAACTGCTGCTTTAGATGGAGTTCAAAGTATCCTGCTGTATCCCCACCTGAGACTCTTTCCCAGGAGGTAAAGCTCTGAAATGTATCAATGGCATAATGGAATCTTCAATGACACAGAAAGACATTGCTATTAATATTTGAGAGAGTGGAATTTTTTTGTGTGTGTATAAGAAGAATGAAGGGCTACCACACCTATAGCCACTGTATGCTCCAACTTAGTGGTTAGGAACATGGATCTAGAAATGGACTTTTATTTCAATCTGAGCCCGCCAAATTTGCTAGCTGTGTGGCTTTGGGCAGGTATATTTCCTTTTCAGTAGATCAATTTCCTAACCTGATAAATGAGGAAAAAAGTGATACCTATCTCATAGCATTTAAAAGATTAAATAAAATAAGATGTGTAATGTGAGTATAGTGCCTGAAATGGAATGACTCAATAAATGTTTGCTGCTATTTTTATTTTCAAGAAATTAAACATGAATATGCTATTTTCTGATACAGCTGATTGGACAAGATATCCCTAAGGAGCCATGATGTTTATCAGCAGGGTTTCTCAATCTTGGAACTGTTGACATTTGGAACCAGATAATCCTTTGTAACAGGAGCCTGTCCTGTGCACTGAGGATGCTTGAACGACCTCTCTACCTACCAGATTCCAGTAGTACTATCCTGCCAGTTGTAACAATCAAAAATGTGTCCAGACATTGCTAAATGCCACCTGGGGGACAAAACTGACCCCAGTTGAGAACCACCAATATAGATGACTCTCAAACAAGGTTCTCTAGTTCATCCTTAGGATTCCAGCCTAGTGATCTGTGAATATTTCCACTTGGATATCTTCTAGGCACCCTTATATAAACTCTGACCAAAATATACCTTCTACCCTTCCTTACCATTCCAGGGCGGATCTTATTACGTTGTTAAAATTCCATTAAATTATACTATTTCTTTTCTCTAGTTTCTCCATTGTAATTCATTTTCAAATCCAAGTATGTATCAAGATCAACATCTTCCCCTTTGCCCCAGTTTATCTGTCACTACAGATCTTTATTTCCTAACTTATTATACTGGATTTTAATTGCTTTTTTATGTCCCAATCTTCCCACTTCTTTCCCTCATTCATCCTGTTTGTCATTGTATTTGCCCTTCTTGTAAAGCTGCTTTGGTCACATCACTTTCCTTCTGAAAACATTCAAGGATTCCCCCATGCCTGAAGAACAAACTCCCAATCACGGAAGGGGAAAATTATTTTGTATGCAAGCCTTCACCAAGCATGTAGCAATGAAAGGTTTGGGCATCTGTTTCTGAGTTAGTGTCCTTGACAAGGTCGCTGAATATCCTGGAGTTTTTAGAATAATAGAACAGCACAGGTTTCAATTTAAATCAGAGGTGCATTACATCTGAGCACCAGGCACAGTCTGTCCATAGCAGCTTCAAGTGCAGAGATTGATTTCTTCAGTCTTTAGGAGAATCTTTTTTATCCCCCAAAGCAGATGTCTTATTAACATTATTTTTGTTTTCTTACTGACTGCATATTGTGTTCCTTAAAGATCTCAGCTAATTTATTAAATAAATCACTAGGCGTCTCCTCATCAATACTTTTCAACTTGCCCTTTGCCCTTATGCTTATGTGAATTAAATTTTAGTTAAAATGATTAAATAACCCCAACTTCTCTAAATGTCTTACCCTAGGATTTTTACTCTGGATGCATTCCAGACCTTCTCAAGGACTTAACACTTTGGCCTGAGGAGTCATAAGGCTTGGAGACAGAGAGTTCTCAGTCTGACGCTCAGTCTAAACAATCATTTCTCATGTCACCTGTGGTGGATTGAAGTCATGAAGTGCTACTTTACTCTAGAATTTTGGCTACTATTTTGACTGTGCTCAGAAGATAATGTGAAGTCTTCGAAACTTCATTTGTGTTTCTCATAATAACTCTGAATTCTATATATTCTACATTTTCTGTTAAATATTTATCACTTTCTATGTTTTTAAAATAGTTCTATATGTGTTGTCTTCCCAACGAGATAGGAAATTCCTTAATATCTTCATGTCTTGTTGTTGTGCACCTCCCCACACCCCACATTCCACTTGGGCTTTGCTCTCTCGGCTGCTCACAACCCTACTACCCGCGTCCACCCTTGCTTCCTTCTTCCTAAACTCTCAATATGTTTCAGAATCATCAATCAAAAATCTAAAATCCTCACTTGAGACTGGGCTTCTGTTTACTGTATCCTTTCCTTTCATAGTTATGCCTTCCTTTCATAGCATTTCTTTTTTTACAGAAATCCTGTATCTAACAGAGTGCTTGGCATATGGTGAATGCCAGACAGTTATCAGTGACTGAATGGCTATATATTCTTAGTGTCTAGCTCTTTGAAAGTACTTTCAGGCTATTTGCTGAATCATTTATAATGCAAAATAAAAGCAAGATGTCTCCCTAACTTCCTAAGATTTCATCTGAGTAGTTTCTCTTATCTATTGCAACATTTCTTACTGTATTACCAAGCAATAAAAAGTCCATTGCAAGGTAAAGTGGATGTATCTTGGGGTCTGTTTTCCAAGGTCTGCCCTAGGTGTTGACCCTAAACACTTAGCCTTTGAAGGCATCTCTCTGCTAGAGCCGATCTTCTCATGCACCTCATTGGGTTTTGTGGCTGATCAGGATTATTTGTGCAAAGGTCTGCTTTTTATGTTCAATATCTCAAAGCTCCACTTTTAAAACTTTGACTTTATCCCATCTCTCAGATCATATCAGACAATTAGATGCTACTGTTTAATCAAGTACATGATGTATTTTTAACATATAATATTTTTAAGGCACTACTGCATTTACAGTAGTTTTTAAAAATTATATTTCTTAAACTTATTAGACACTAAAAGGACTTTAATAACATTTGAGGAATCAAAAGATTTTTTTTTCTAATTTAAAAAGAGGTCCATTTAGTTGAAAGGATTAGAAATGGTGGCCTTAGGATATTCTCAGCATTCACTGTTGGAGAGACTTCATTCTAAATTCAAGAGTGAAATAGAGAGGATTCTTAGCTTGGTTATTATTTTAGATTATAAAAATTAAAATGCATATATGTATAGTAGTAAAACTTTTTTCATCATGTTAATTTCTAAACATACTGTTTTAGGTGCATGAATAGTTAAATATGCCAACTTTCTGCCTTCATTTCTTGCCCCAGATTGCATCCAGCATTTTAAGTGGCTTTCTCTGCTTTCATTGCTTTTATGGTCAATGAA